TGTCACTTAGCCACTGCTATAAACAACTTAGTTCAATTAAAGTCCATCAACTGATTAATATATAGAAAAAATTAATAAAATATTATATTACGCTTATGTTGATATTGGTATTATGATCTAAGTTTTCAAGATTGATATATTGACATCCCAACATATTTGTGTGTGTATGTGTGAGGAAGATTGGCCCTGAGCTAACATCTATGCCCATCTTCCTCTATTTTGTATGTGAGATGCCACCACAGCATGGCTTGGTGAGTGGTGTAGGTCTGTACCCAGGATCCAAACCTGCAAACCCTGGCTGCCAAAGCAGAGCTCACCCAGCTTAACCACTATGCCACTGGGCTGAACCCCAACAGATTTTTTAAATTACATACTTAGGGGATTTTAGGGAATTCAAATTTTAATAGATCTTATTAATTTAATAGGTAAAAAGTAAACAGAAGGGCAATTTATTTTTTAGGTTTAAAAAACAGTATTAGATATACCAACATTTCTTAATGATAGTGACAGCTAATACTTTAACATCACACTAAAATCATGAATCAATTAATGTATGAGCTACAAGTTTATTTTAATATATAATCACAAAGTCTTGGTATGGATAATCATAATGGACCAACATAACATAAAATGCAGAAAACAGCCAGGATATTCTTAAATTGTTCCTTCAATTAAAAATAAACCTACATATAATGATCAATAAATTAGAAGAAAAAATATTTAGTTACTATAATTTCCAATTTTTCAGATAGAGATAAATTTTGCTATGTTGTGTTCCAAGCTCTAGAGTTCAGTTATATTCTATTATGAATGATAATTTCTAGGTAAAAATTTGTATGAATAAAACTTCTGTGAATAGTAAGATTTTAAGGGGTGTTAATATGAGTAAATATATTGGAATGCAAGATTACAGTGAGGAAGGGAAGTGTGCCATGAAAATGTGTAGACTAAAATAATTTCTGGTAGAGGAAACATAAGTGTAAATGCTGTGAGAACAGAACAACCTAATTGTTTTCTAAAGAAACAGGAAGGCCAGAGGGAGAATACCCACTGTTAGTCAGGAGGGGTGGCTTGTCTTGTGACTTTGAGTAATCATTTCAAGTCGCTGAGCTTCTGTTTCCTTAACTGCATGGTCGAGGCAGAAATCTGCCTTAACTGCCTTGAGGTTGTGAAGTGGTAATGTTTGTCAATGCATATGGAAAATTGTAAAGGGCTACAAAAAGGTAAATTATTGTTTTGGAACTATTTTATAGTATGATATAACTCAAACAGTCTGAACCCCTGTGCCTGGTGGATGTCACACACATTGGGGATGTTTACTTGGTGAGGTGAGTAGGAGTTAAAATGATTTAATTTATTCCATAGTTTAAAAGACATTTAATCATTTCCACTCCTTTCAACTTTCTTTTCTGAGTCTCAGCTTACTTATCAATAAAATGGAGTAAGAAAGCCTAATTTGTAAGTTTTTGGTAAAAATTAGTTAAGATACTATATATAAAGTATTTAGCAGCGTGCCTAGGATATATTAATTACCAAGTAATCAGCAACTTTAATAGCTATAGTTGTCTATTTATGTTAATTATGATCACGAGATGTACCAAAATATGATATCTAATCTCATATAAATTCATATATAAAGTTCTCAGTCACTGATGGAGAACACATAATTGTACTATAAAGCAATCATAGATAACAAAATAAATTAAATATACCAACTATATTTGGAAGTCAATAATTTCATTAAATAATGAAGAAAGTTTTGCAATAGTAGAGGCACTGAACTCATAACACATTCACGTTTTTAAGAATGTTATGTTTTGATTAACCAAAATAATTAAATACACACACCATTGGCTTTTAATTAAAAAAGGCAATCATGTTATTTCATAGACCTCTTGAATCAAAATAAGCATGGTAGTTTTATTTTTCCAACGATATTGTCTAAAAACAAAATATTTTAACAATTAGAAGCATAGTATGTGTTTCTGCAAAGGATACACAAACATGGAATTATAAAATTTGAGGAATATGTGTTTAGCAGCTAATCTATACTAAGGTTTATGGATACAATGGTGAAACAAAATTCTTTTCACCATTAATATCACCTTCTAATCTGGGGAGAATTGCCACAGACACATAGTTATAATATAATGTAGTAAGCTAAGTGAAAGTAAGGTGTACAGGCTGTGATGCGGGAATAATTAAGGAAGACATTTTGAATGAGGGAACTATAAACGAAGACTTCAAGGTCTAGTATCCAGCCAGTCAAGGCCAGGAGGATTTGAGTGTTGTAGACAGAAGGGCAATACATTAGCAAAACCATTACCCCGAGATATGAGAAAATGTTTGGAGATGACGTGAGTGTTCACTTTCCTGATAATGGCGATTACTCCGTGATTATACATGTATCAAAACTTACCCAACAGTGCATGTTAATTCTGTGCAGTTAATTATACATCAATTATATCTCAATAAAGCTGTAACGTTTTTAAAACTGTCTAGCAATGGATAGGAAATGAGAATGTGGGTAAGTAATAGGGAGTCAACCTATAATATCTGTTTTTTTATCATACAGAAAATTTGATTTTTTATTAAAAATATCATTTCTAAAATATGTACAATGGTCCAGCTTATGCTGCAACATAACTCACTATAACTTTTGAAGAACAAATAATCCACAGGCTTCTCACATATCTGAAACATATACAAAGACTCAAAGACTTTAAATTCATTTTTTAACTTTTAATTTTGAAGTAATTTTAGATTTACAAAAGAATATCAAAGTTAGTAGAGAGAATTCCTGTATACGTTTCGTTCAGTTTCTCCTAATATTAACATTTTATATAACCACGGCACATTTGTCAAAACTAAGAGATTAGCATTAGGATTTTATTGTTGACTAAACTACACACTTTATCTGAATTTCAGCAGTTTTTCCACTAATATTTTTTTTCCTGTTCCGTGACTCAGTCTGGGGCCCCACATCAAGTTCAGAAATCGTGATTCCTTTGCACCTCCAATCTGTGATGGTTTCTCAGCGTTTCCTTGTCTTTCATGACTTGGAAACTGAAGGGTGCTGTTCAGGAACTTTGTAGAATTTTGTAGAGTGTCCCACAACTTTGGTTGTCTTTAAGTTTTCTCATCATTCAATTGGGGTTGCAAATTTAGGGGAAGAATACCACAGAGGTGAATTATCATTTTCAGCATTTCATATCAAGGGGAACGTGATATCATCATGGTTTTCTACTGGTGATGTTGACCTTGATCACTTGGATGATGTGATATCTGCTAGGTTTCTACACAGTAAATCCCCTCAGAAGTGTAGGTCAGCTCCTTTATTCACTCCCTTCAATGTGGTTATATCATTTATTTGTAGTGTAATTAAATTCATTCTTATACAGTCTGCGTTCCGTGTTGGAACCCCTGACATCATGACATCATGTTTTATTTTTGTTTTTAAATGGGCAAGCAGAAAGGTTGACTCTGTGGGTTTTGACAGACGCATAGCTATGTATCCACCACACAGTGCTGCACAGAACAATTCTGTTATCCTCAAATGCTTCTGTTGCTGTGCCTTGTAGACAACCTCTCCCTCCACCCTCCCAACCCCCTACCCAACAACCATTGATCTATTTTTCTATCTGGATTGTTTTGCTTATTCCAGAATCTCATATAAGTGAAATCACACAATATGTAGCCTTTGGGAGCTGGCCTCTTTCACTTAACAAAATGCATTTAAGATTTATTCGCATTGTTGCATGAATCAATAGTTTATTCTTTTTTATTGCTGAGTAGCATTCAATTATACAGATGTTATCCAGTTTGTTTATCCATTCATCTGTTGAAGTATATTTGGGTTGTCTCCAGGTTTTAGTGATTATAAATAAAACTGGCATAAATAAAACCACTGTGCACAGATTTTGTGTCAACATAGGTTTCCAATTCACATGAGAAACCCTAAAAATAGGATTGCTGAGTCATATGGTAAGTGTTCAATTCAGTTTTGTGTAGTTCTTTTTTCTTCCAAACTCTTTTCTATTGAAATAAAATTTACATAAAAAATATGTATTGTGTGGAGTTCAATAAGTTTTGAAAATCCATTTCTTCCTGTAACGAATACCCAAATCAAGATTAGAACAATTATCCCAGAAAGTTCCTTCATGTTTCTCTCCAGTCAACCCCCACCACCACACATGAATAGAGTCAACCATTGTTCTGGTTTTTTTCTCCATAGATTAGGTTAATTGATTTATAACTTCATCACACAAATGAAAAAATACAATATGTACTCTTTCGTGTTTTACTTTTGCTGAACATCATGTTTTGGACGTTGATTCATTTCTTTTTATTGTTGATTATTTTTCCATAATTTAATAAGTGAATTTATCACATTCTGTTTATCCGTTCAATTGTTTATGGACATTTTGGTTTTTTTTCCCCAGTTTTTTTTGTTGAATGAATAAAGATAAAATTAGCAGTAATTGTATACGTATTTTTGTAGATAAACATTTCACTTCTTTTGGGTAAATTCATAAAAGTGGGATCACTTGGTCACAGGTAGGTATATTTTTACTTTGTAACTGTCAAAAATAGTTTTTAAAGTACTTGAATCATTTTACATACCCACTAGTATTGTATTAGAGTTCCAATTGCTACACATGCCAACTAATATTGATGTTGTCTTTTAATTTTAGCTACCCTAGAGGGTGTGACATAGGGTCTCATTATGCATTCAGTTTGCAGTTTTCTGATAAGTATATGCTTTGAACACCTTTTCATTTCTTTACTGAATGGTCACACATCTGTTTTGTATCTGCTCAAGTGTTTGCTCATTTTAAAATTGCAAAGTTTTTCCTTTGCTATTTATTAATAAGAGTTCTTTATATAGTTTTTAATAAAAGTTCTTTGTTAGAAATACGTATTAGGAATATTTGCAGTTATTGGTTTTCTCTTTCATTTTCTTAATGGGTTATCTTTATGGATAGAGCATTTTTAATGTTGATGATGTCCAATTAAATCTTTTCTCCTTTTAGATAAGCTCAGTTTGTGTTCTATCTAAGAAATTTGGATACATACTGACGCAGCTTATGAACGTATTCCACTAGCTTTTATTCTAGAAGTTTTTAGTTTTAGGTTTTACATTTAAGACCCATCTTGTTGAACTTACATGTGGTTACCAACTGCATTCACTTACGCCTAGTTTTTTTTTTGTTATTGTTCGTTCCTTACAATGTGAACTATCACTTGCAAATCAACAGAGTTGCATTTATTTTTTTCAATCTTTATGAATCATCTTTCTTTTATTGTATTTTTGCACAGGCAAAGTCCTCGAGGAGCATGCTGAAGTGACAAGAGTGCCTTTCTTAGGGGAAATACATTCAATATTTCACTGTTAATGAAGAGAAAGTCCTCTTCTACTTCTGATTTGCTGAGAGGTTTTATCCAGAAGACATATTTAATTTTGGCAAGTGGAAAGTGTTTTTTCTTCATATGTGTAGACGATGCATCTTTTTCCTTGAGTTTTTAAATATGGTGATTTACATCAATTGATTTTCAAATATTGAACCAACCTTTTATTCCTGGGTTTAAACCCCGTAAGTAATGTTGTATTAATTTTTTTGTATTACTGGATTCACTTTGCAATATTTCTTGAGAATTTTACACTTAAATTCGTGAAGGATCTTGATCTGTAATTTTCTTTTTTAGCAATGTCTTTGGAAAGTTTTGACAACAGGATTAAATGAGTATTTTCTTCTAGTTGATCACTGAGTTTGTTTAAATATTTGAAAGAATTTACTAGTAAAGTTATCTGAGCTTTCTTGTAGAAAGATTTTTAATTATGAGTTCATTTTTTAAAAAAAGATATAGGCATATTCAAATTTCTATTTCCTCTTCTGATACTTTTGGCAAATTATGCTTTTTAAGGAATTGCCCCTTTCTTCTAATTTCCAAAATATCAACATAACCAAATTCATACTTGTTATTATATGTTTAAATTTATGGACTATGTAGTAATTATCCTTCTTTTATTTCTGCTGTTGAAATATTATTTTTCTTGATCAGTCTTGCTATATGTCTATCAATTCTGTTAATCATTTTAAAGAACTAACTTCTATCATTGATTTTTTTGTTTGTTTTCCATTTCATTGATTTTTGCTGTTATTTCATGTCTTTGTCCTGAATAATTTGTTTAATTTGTACTTTCATCTTTCTTAATATAGTCTTTTAACATCTTTAATTTGCTCTTCCAGCTTCTTAAATTGAAAACTTAGCTCATAGATTTTAAACCTTCCTTTATAATATAAGCATTTAAAGCTGTACATTTTCCTAAATGCATAGATTTAGTTTTGTCCCCTAATATTTTTGATATATTGTACTTTAGCTTTCATTTAGGTGGAAATATTTTCTATTTTCCCTTATGATTTATTATTTAACCAATAGGCTATTTAGGATTATATTGCTTAATTTCCAAATATTTGGGGGAAATACTTGGTATCTTTATGATTTCTAATTTAATTTTGTTGGAATCATAGTAGATACCCTGTATGATTTTAATACTTTGAGATTTACTTTGTTTGATGGCCTGGGATTTCTTATAGCTGTATAGTGTTCTATAAATATTAATTAGATTAATTTACTAGATTATTTATTTAATTAGATTATTTAAATATTTAATAGATTAAGTTGATTGTGTTGTCCAAATCTTCTACATCATTATATTTTTGTCTACTTGCCTTATCAATTACTAAGAAATGGATATTAAATGCTCCACTATGATTGGAGAATTATCCTTTTAAATTTTAGTGCTGTCAATTTTGCTTCCGTGCATTTTGAAGCTCTCTTATTTAGTACATATTTAGGGATATTCAATTGACTATTTTATCTTTATGAAGTGACCCTCTTTAGCTCGGGTAATACTCCTTCTCCTGAAGTCTAGTTTGTATGATGCTAATGGAGCCACATCAACTTTTTGAGTTTAGATTTTGCATGCTATCTCTTTTCCCATAATTTTACTTTTAACCTTTCTATGTTTATATTTATAATTTAAATTTAGAATGTAACGCTTGGAAACATGTGGTTGTATATTCTTTTTATTCTGACAATTTTTGTCTTCCCTTTTAATTGGAGTGTATGGACCATTTTCATATAATTTAATTTAGTTTTTGTGTTTAAACTCCACCTATTCTTTCTAAATATTTTCTACTTATTCTCTCTGTTTTGTATTCCTTTTTTCTTTCTTTTCTGCCATTGCTTAGGTTAATTAAAGACTTTAATTTTCTGTGCCGGCTGCGAAGCGAAGTGGTTAAGTTCGCATGCTCTGCTTTGGCGGCCCAGGATTTCACCAGTTCAGATCCTGGGCACGGACATGGCATCACTCATCAGGCCATGATGAGGCGGCGTCCCACATGCCACAGCTAGAAGGACCCACAACTAAAAAATATACCGCTATGTACTAGGGGGATTTGGGGAGGAAAAGCAATTAAAAAAAGATTGGCAACAGTTGTTAGCTCAGGTGCCAATCTTTATTAAAAAAAGACTTTTAGTTTTCAAGTTTGTCATTCTATCTACTTTCCTGACTTCCTTTTATTGTGCTTTATTTTGTTTTATTGTTTGCTCTCAGAAGAATGAGAAATATGGCTGTAGTTCCAAGCAGTTTGCAGTTATAAGTGTAAGATTGGTGTATTATGATGGATAATGGCCCCCAAAGATATCCAGGTCCGAAGCATTGGAACCTGTGAACATTACATTATATGGCAAAACTGTAGGCAAACAGCAGACAAGACTGACTATGCAGATATGGCTGTTAAAGATCCTGTGATGGGGAGACTATCCTGCATTATCCCAGTGGATCCATATTGGAGGGAGACAGAGAGACATTTGACAACAGAAAACAGTATAAATACTACCCTGCTGGCTCCAGAAGGTAGAAATGACAAGGCAACAGGTTCTCCCCTCGGGCCTCCAGAGGGAGTGCAGCCCTACTGGCACTTTGATTTCAGCCCAGGAAAACCTATTCAGGCTTCTGACCTATGAAGCTACAAGAGAATAAATGCTTGTTATTTTAAGTCACAAATTTGTGGTAATTTGTTACAGCAGACATAAGAAACAATTGGATGGGACGTTATATTTGGAATGTGACCAAATATAATAGAGTGTTAAGCTTTCCAGGGTTTAGCAGTATCAAGATATGAAATTAAAATGGAATTTTGACTAATCATTTCTTATCTTGAGAGGTCAACTTAGATTTTTGGTGCCAATGTAAAGATATGAAATCATCAAAATGAATCAAATACATGAGAAGTACAAAGGATTTGATAAGGTAGAAAGAATGTGTCCATTGTATTTTATAATTATATTTTATTTAAAAAAGTTAGCTTTAGAAGGCAAAGGTGATGTATTGTGTCAAAACAATGACCCATTCTGTTAAACTTACTACGCCGACAATTTTTATAATGTCGAATATTAGTCTTCGTCATCTGCTCTCTAACCAAATTAGTCTTAATATTCTGGACTTGTATAATGACAGAACTAGGAAGGTTCTTGGCCAATGTCCTCATTTGAGAGATGAGGAAATGGGGACCTGAAGATATTAAATTGATCACTGTGATTCTAAGGTAGTAAAAGCCACAAATGAGAATATGTTTCTCTCAAATCCTGGAAGAGAGATTTTAGAACATTATATCATTTTAATATGTATCTTGGTGTTCGCCATTCAGTTGAAAAGTCGTATTTCAGTCAGGAAAACAGTAGCTACTCTAGGATGTCTGAGAAGGAAGGCCTTCCTACAGGCCATGTTAGGCTTACCCAACCATTGTTGGAAGGTTTTGGGGAGGCAGGTCAGGGAAGAAGTTCCAAAAGTAGTTGATTCACAGGTAACCAACTGGAAGCCACAGTAAATTTCATCAATCTCATCAGGATATTGTTAGCTATTGAAGCAGGCCATTGGCCTGACTTGTCTCTAAATGGTGGACCTCAGCATTCTCAGCGAGACCTCTCACCTCCATTCTCAGCTGCTGGCAGCACCAGAATGTGTGAGTCTCAAGGCTCACCTATTATGCAAGGTCTGTCTCTACCTGCCCCAGAGAGGATCTCCCTTCCACCTTCGAAGTCTAGCACAAGTGTCTCACATAGACTGACCCAACCCCAGAACTATGTTTGGGGAAATATACTTCCTTCTTTCTCTCTGCAGTGCGTAAGGGACCCTAAAGTGGGTAGCGCTGATACTAAATTGAACACAGATTTTCTTTTTCTTTGAATTATTTAAAGTTTATGAAATTTTATTTGTGTTGATTGATGGAGCCTTTGAATAAAAAATAAGGGATTTGCTTTTACTGTCTATTGAATGTACCATTCCGTTGGTTTTGCTGTACAGTTTTGGGCCTATTACATTAATATTTTGTCTGCAATCCAAATTTCTTCAGGCCCCATCAGGCAGGGGTCATGATAATAGTAACAGTAGAGTAATTCCAAGTTTACTCCCAAAAAATCCATGCTGGATTTCTAATATATGCTTCGGTCTGTCAGGGACCATACTCTTTCTCAACGTATTGACATCTGTCATTTCATCTTTGACTGCTGGTGACCTCCTCAAACATCTTCGAGGTCATGCACTGACATGTTCCATACTCCAGTTGTTGATTTTGTCCCAACTGCTTTTCCGCTCTGTGCACTCAGTCACCTGGCTGAATTAATAGGCAAGAGAAAAAGTGTATCATTCTTTTCTAAAGTATAAAAAGAGCCTTTTTCCCTAAAGGCTTTAATGATATTAGAACCCTGTTTAATCTCTCCCAAAATGTTCATCCCAAAGGAATTCTGGAAAAGCCCCTGGGATGAGTGAGAAAATAATCTATACCATATTGGACTCAATCATACTTTCCTTCTAGAGTCTGCCATTTTTTTTAGGTAAACTTTAAAAAATTTTAGAACAGTTTTGATTTACAGAATTATTGTGAAGTTAGAACAGAGAGCTCCCATATACACACAGCCAGATTCCCCTATTATTAATATCTTACATTGGTATGGTGCATTTGTGATAATTAATGAACCAATATTGATACATTATTAATTAGAGACCATAATTTAAGATTTTCTCCTTTTCCCCTAATGTTATTTTTCTCTTCTAAGATCAAAACTAGGAACATATTTTACATTTAGTAGTCATTTCTCCTTAAGCTGTTATTGGTTCTGGCAGGCTCTCAGGATTTCCTTGTTTTGGATGACCTTGACACTTTTGAGCATTACTGGTCAGATATATTGTAGAATGTCTCCCAGTTAGGATTTATCTGATATTTTTCTTATGATTAAACTAAGCTAATTCACCTGTGCTGCCACAGAGTTACGTTACCTTTCTCGTCACATCTCATCAAGGGTATGTCTATCAATGACTTATCACTGTTGTTTACTTTGATCATCTGGATTGAGTGGTCTTTGTCAACTTTCTACACTTTAAAGTTTCTCTTTCTCCTCCCCACCTTCTTCACATGCTGAACTCTGTAAGAAAGTCACTATGTACAGTCTATACTTATGGAATGGGGAGTTATAACTCACTTTCTCGAGGGCAGAGTATCTACATGCATCATTTCTTCTGCACAGGATATTTGTCTTTTCTTCCCCATTTGTGGATCAAATGCTGCTGGATGTAGTGTTTATTTTACATTTGCATTGTTGGATTAGATTTGCTAATATTTTGTTAAGAATTTTTGCCTTGATGTTCATGAGACATATTGTTTCATGGTTTATCTAGTCTCGGTATTAGGGTAGTGCTGGCATCACAGAATTAGTTAGGAAGTGTTCATTTTGTTTCTATTTTTTGAAAGATATTGTAGAGACTTGGTATCATTTCTTCCATGGGTATTTGGTAGAATTCACCAGTTCAACCATCTGGACCTGTTGACTTCATTTTGGGAAGATCATTAATTGTTCTAATTTTTAAAATAGGTATAGAGCTAGTTAGAGTATTTTTCCTTGTGTGAGTTTTTGCAGCTTGTGTTATTCAAGAAATTGGTCCATTTTATCTAGCTTATCAAATTTGTGGGCATAGACTTGTTCATAATATTTTGTTATCCTTTTACAATCTATCAGATTATAGTGATGACTGCATCTAATTTCTGATATTAGTAATTTGTATTCTTGTTTTTTCTTTGGTTAATATCGCTAGAATTTTATCAATTTCGTTGATCTTTTTAAAGAATCAGCTTTTGATTTTGTTGATTTTTTCTTTTGTTTTCTGTTCTCAATTTCAATTGTTCCTGCTTTAATTTTAAATATTTATTTTCTTATGCTTAAAGCTTATATCGCTCGTCTTTCTCTAGTTTCCTAGAATTGAAGCTTAGATTATTGATTTTAGATCTTTCTTCTTCACTAACGCATGTTTTCACTGCTACAAATTTTCCTCCAAGCGCTGCTTTCACTGAAATCCACAAATTCTGATAAGTTGTACTTTCATTTTGATTTAGTTCAAATATTTTAAATTTCTCTGGACGCTTCTATGTATCAAGTCTTATTTAGAAATATTGTTTAATTTTCATTAATTTTTGAGATCTGCCACCTGTTTTTCTGTTTTCATTTCCTGCTAAATTCCATTAAAATTTATATGATTTCTCTTCCTTTAAATTTCTAAAGGTGTATCTATGGCTCAAAATGTTCTCTATGTGAGTGAACATTCATATGAGTCTGATAAGAATGTGTATTCTGCTGGTCTTGGGTGGAGTGGTCTATAAATGTCAATTAGATCAATCTGATTAAAGTGCGCTTCAGGTCAAGTACAGCCTTAGTGATTTTCCACCTGCTTGATATCTCAGTTACTGATGGGAAGTGTTGAATTCTCCAACTATAAAAGTAGAAATGCCTTTTGACCTTTCATTTCTATTAGTTTTTGCCTCACATATTTTGATGCTGTGTTGTAAGATGCATGTACATTGAGGATTATTGTGTCTTCTTGGAGCATAGACTCCTTTATCCTTATGTGAAGTGTGTCTTTATCCCTGATAATTTTCTTTGTTTTGAAGTCAGTTTTGTCTTAATAGCTACTCCAGTTTTCTTTTGATTAGTGTTAGCATTTTATATATTTCTCCATCTCTTTATTTTTAACCAATCTGATTCTTTGAATTTTTTCTTTTTATTCACTCTGACAGTCTTTGTCTTTTACTTGGTATATTTAAACCGATCACATTTAAAGTGATAGTTGATATACTTGGTTCAATAACAACCAGGTTGATGATTATTTCATTCATTGCCGGAGGTTCTTGCTCTGTGTTCTCTGTTTTTGTGTGCATTTTATGTAATTCCATTTTATCTCCTCTCCTAGGAAATAAATTACATCTCTCTTTTTTTAAATTACAGTTTCCCTGGAGTTTACAATACACATTTTTAACTAGTCTATGTCTACCTTAAAATGACACTACTATTCACGTGTAATAGGTACCTCAGAACAGAGTATTTCAAATTCTACATTCTGTCCCTTGTCACATTGCTTTCTTTCATTTCACTTAACCATAGGTTATGATCATCTGATACATTGTTATCATTACTACTTTAGTTATTTAAATAAATTAAAAATAGGAAAATGAAATATTTTATTTTTCATTTGTTCCTTCTTTAGTCGTTTCCTTTCTTTATGTAGACCCACATTTATGACCTGTATCGTTTTCCCTCTGCCTGAGAAAAATCTTTGAACATTTCTTGCAAGTCATATCTGCTAATAATGCATTCCCTCAGTTTTTTGTTTTGTTTTTGGTCTGAGAATATTTCTATTACTTAACTTTTGAAGCATAACTTTGCAGTTTAGCATTCTTGGTTGTTTTTTTTTCAACATTTTAAATATTCCATATTACTCTCTTCTTGCTTGTACAGTTTCTAATGAGAATCTCACCACAACTGATCTGTTTGTTCAAAGGTCTTTATTTTGGTTTTTTGATCTTTGCCTTTTTTCCATTTTTTTTGGAGTTTGAATACAATATACCCTTGATTTTGTTTGCAGTTTGAATATGATATGCCTAGGTTTAGTTTTTGTTTTTTTGGTATTTATACTACTTTGGGTTGTCTGAGCTTCCTGGATCTGTGGTTTTTAATCTTTCATTAATATTGGAAATTTCACAGCCATTATTGCTTCAAATATTTCTTGTGCTCCATTCTTTCTTCTTTTTCTTTTATTTCCATTATGTGTATGTTATAGCTCTTAAATTTTTCCCTCAGTTCTTGGAACTTCTGTTCCATTTTTTTAATCTGTTTTTTAATTTAAATCTGGCAAGTTTTATATTGACGTATCTTTCAAGCTCACTGATTCTTTCCTAAGTCCCATATATTAATGAGACATTCTTCGAAGACATTCTTCATTTTTGTTAAGATATTTTTTATTTGTAGCATTTCCTTTGATTCTCTCTCAAAATTTCCACCTGTCTACTTATATTACCCATTTATTTTTTCTTGTTATCTGGTTTATCTATTAGCATATTAATCATAGTTATTTTTATGTTGTCTGATAGTTCCAGCATCTGTGTTATATCTGAGTGTTGTTCTCATACTTGCTTTATCTCTTTAGACACTTTTTTCCCTAGCCTTTGACATGATATGATTCTAGATAGAAACCAAACATGTTGCATAGGATAATAGGACAAAGGTAAATTGTTGGTATAGGAGTTGGGCTTTGTTTATTGTTCGTGCAATTTACATACCAGAAGCTTTAAGTTTCTCTGTTGTCCCTGTTTTTGTCACTCCTCTAAATCTGGGCTTCCTTAGTACTCCTCTGAAAGAGTCTGTGTCTTTTTCAGCTGTAATCCACTATTGTTATATTTGAGTCCTGTTGGTAGTGTTAAGGTGTTGAGAAGAGAGGCTTCTGTAACCTTCCAATTTATCTCAGTCTTTAATGGGCCTGTTTCTCTGGCTTTGACCTTCAAAAGATTTTCCTCTTGTTTAAGTTTTTCCTTCCTTATGTGAGACAGGAAATCTGGAGTGGGCTAAAGTGAGAGGAATGCCCTTCTATCAAGCCTCTGGGATAAGACTCTAGTAAAGTCTTTCCCAGGACAGTGGGCCTTTGTTAGAGAGAATGCTCCTAGTGTAGTGATGTAATTAACAAGATTACTCTTCTCCTCCCTTTCCTAGAGCCAGGAGGGGATCTTTCTTGCGTCTTCACCATGAGAACCTGAGGTTCTTGAAAATAAATCCCATGAAAGCCTGGGGATCTCCTGAAGACTGCAGACCTGAGAAGTTTCTCCCTTTCACATAAGTCCACACTTAGCCTCCAACAATTCCTCAAAATTACCATTTAATTGTGCCTGTCAGCTTGTGACTCCAGTGGCTTCTGCTCCAGGTGAGGAGGTCTTTACTATGACTCCAAGTTCACTTGTTTCTCCACATCTCAGGGAGGTAGTTTATCCTGGCACTTCAATTCTCTCATGGGTCCAAGAAAAGTTACTGATTTTTTGTTTGTTCCACTTTTATTATTTTACTTGTAGAGAATGAAGTGATGTCTTCAAAGCTTTTTACATATCAGAGGTGAAAGTAGAAATCCTACCATTGTTTTTTGGAACCACAAACTTGAAATTGCTTTGAAAATGAAAGCCGGTATTCAGTAAGATGATATTTTGAGTGATAGGAGCCATCTTGCTGAACTACACCAGAAATATTTTATGCAGAATACTTCTTTCTTGCAGTGTGGCGGGAGTAACATAAAGTCATATGCCATCCAACAGTTTAGGAACAGATTTTCTGCAAACTGGCAAAATCATATACCAAAAACATGCATTTGTAAGATAATTAAGATGTGTCTAATTTGACAGTCTTACATCAATATCATTGTTGTGTTTGCTTGGAATAGAGCCTACTCAGAAACAAAGATAGAATTGTCATGCTTATTGTTTTTAATCAAAAATGCATTTTAAGTTATACTCATGTTTTCTTCACTCATTTCTCCAGTGTGCCCAGAAATTTTAAATATGGCATTTTATTTCTAGCGTACTGTAGCCCATTTACTTTGCTTCTTACTTAAATAATCCTGGTATAGGGTTCTATTTATTCATGGAAATTGTAGCTTTATCTGGCCCCTCTGAAAGCTCTACCTGTGAGGCATAGGAAGACTGGAATTGATGTTAGATCATTTACCATCTGCAATATGATTTCTATTCTCCATTGAATATTTCATGTTTGCATTAGAAAAAATTTTGCCTGAAACCGTTGCAAAAACAAACCTTCTTCCTCAAAAGTGTTCATTTTTCACAGAATCACTAGGTTGTCCCCTGCCTACAGAATGATATTTTGGGAACCCTTTTTTTTTTAAACATTCCATTACAAACTTTGCTATACTATACAGCTTATTTTTCCACACCCACACACCTACACACCCACACATCCACTAGCATTAGTTTGCTGAAGTGTGAAACAGGACTTCCTGGTGGCATCTTCACATTTTACGTAACTGTTGGTGAAGCCACTGCTGACACTGGGAATGTCACTGTAAAATCCTGAGACTTTGCGGAGGAAAGAAAAGTGTTATCCAATTATTTGCTCAAAATATAGCACTGGCAAGTAACTGAGAAAGCAGTCTCAACCTAACTGTCAACTCTTCAAAATCCATGGCTTACCCGTTTGAGGCATCTTTCTTGTTAAAAGCCTTTATTAAACAATTTAAAAACTATGATTTCTAGAGTTTTGCTCATTTAAGAGACAAGAAGGAAATATCTACTCAGCAAGAAAATGAGATATGATTTAAATTGGTTGGCTTCACAGTCTGACTTCAGGAGACAGTTGTGGAGCTCAATTTGAGAATTTGTGGTTCTCAAATTATTGTGCTCTGAAAGAATGATTTTGCAAGCCTATCTGTAACAGCTTTAGAGAGCAGCAGTTCTCTGAATAGTTAGGACAAAAATTGCTATAGGTTGAATTTCTCTGATCATTGAGGGGAGCTGATGTTTCTTTGCCTGATTTATTCTTTATTTACATCCCTACAGTCAATTGCAAGCCCTCTATTTCATTTACAGTTCTCTACAGTTAATTTTAAATCCTCTGTGTTGCCGGTTAAAACGGCGTATGTCAGATCTCGATTGTAAAAGTCTAGTTTTACTCTAAATTAGCCCAACAGGGAGGGAGAGGAAATCCTTTACGTGAAATTATAATTTTGAACGGAGACAAAATTGAGATCGTTGTTTCAATTTATTAAAAAAATTAAATGATTGTGATGAAATGCAGATAGCTCGTGGGCTGTTGTTAGGTTTCTTTTTCCTGTCCATGTAGAGAAATAGAAACTGCATCAGTGATGTGCAATTACAGCAGTGATCATTACCCGCACAGAGCCATATTTGTTCTGGAGTTCTTTAATCCTTTTACTTTTCTTAATTTATGGCATTGCTTTCTAATCATACTTTCTCTTAAACACTCAGTCCAATGCTTAACATACTGGGTTTATACATAGGTATTTTTACCATGCAGCCACTGATGTAAATTCGGTCCTATGGTTTTACCACAACCACTTGCAGCATTTGCAATACCGTTTCCTAATCTTGGGCTTATGGACTGTTTCTACAGGGCAAATGCTATGTAAGTGAATGAGATGATATTATTGATATTGTCATGTTTTGACTTAAGCGAGCACACATAGCCATGTCCTCTTTTACCTAGGAAAGTTTTAGAAATGGCTATAAATTTCCACCCTAGATATTAGTCATAGAAGACTATTAGGACTTTCTATCTAAATATTGGAGATTGAGATTTCTTGCTTTATTTCTTATAACATCCTCTGTACTTCAGAATGTATTTCATATACATATATATATGTGTATATATCCATTTATCATATATAACTTTTATTAAAAATAAAATATTAAATATAATATATTAAAAATGCTGGTAAGCAAAAATCAAAATAAATTAAAACCACTTAGATATACAGATAACTAATATTTGGTGAATTCTTATTATATGCCATGTATAATTTTGAGATCTTTACATATAATAACTCTTTTAATCCTTCCAACAACCTTATGAGATAGGTAATATTATTCTTTCCTTTTTACATATGAGAAGACTCAGGTACAAAAAGGTTAAATAAGGTGCTCAGAAATGTATAGCTAATGAAGGTTAGAGTCAGATTCTAAAGATAGATCTGCACCAGAAGCCAGAGTTATTTTTTTTAAATTTTTTATTAAGGTATAATTGACATATAACATTACATTAGTTTCAGATGTACATCATAATGATTCGATATTTGTATATGCTGCAAAATGATCATCATGATAAGTCTACTTACCATGGGTCACCATATATAGTTACAAATTTGTTTTTCTTGTTATGAGAACTTTTAAGTTTTACTCTCTTAGCAACTTTCAAATACAAAATACAGTATTATTAACTATAGTCACCATGCTGTGTATTATATCCCTATGATTTATTTATTTTTACCTGGTAGTTAGTATCATTTTATTTCTTTTTTCTTTTTTTTTTTAATGAACATTAGCCCTGAGCTAACATCTGCTGCCAATCCTCCTCTTTTTGCTGAGGAAGACTGGCCCCGAGCTAACAGCTGTGCCCATCTCCCTCTACTTTACATGTGACAAGCCTGCCACAGCATGGCTTGATAAGTGGTATGTAGGTCCACACCCAGAATCAGAACCCGCGAACCCCAGGCTGCCAAAGCTGAGCTTGAGAACTTAACTGCTGCAACACTGGGCCAGCCCCCTGGTAGTTTGTATCTTTTGAACCCCTTCATCCATTTTGTACCCTCTACCCTCTCTCCCCTCTGGCAACATCTAAGCTGTTTTCTGTATCTATGAGCTTGGTTTTGTTTTATTTTGATTTGTTTTGTTTGTTTGTTTTGTTTTGTTTTTTTTTAGATTCCACATATAAGTGAAATCATAGAGTATTTGTCTTTCCCTGTCTGACTTCTTTCACTTGGCATAATACCCTCAAGGTCAATCCATGTTGTCACAAATGAAAACCCAGAGTTCTTAATCCCTATATTACAATGACCTTTTATTTCCACAATTCTGTTACTTTGGAATAATGAGTTTTAATAATATTATGTGGATTATTTAATTTTTCTAATTTTTGTTCTCTGTGGATATGATAAATTAATTATGCATTATTTCAAAATTTTGTTTCATAATCAATGATTTAACATCCCAACACTTTCATTTCGCCAAATACTCTTTTATAATATAATTTTAATATGTATAGTTTGGGCTACACGTTTTCAATATTTTGGAACATTGTGTACAGACTACAGTTTTCTTCTCAACATTTATTCAAACATTCTTACCTAGTGATAGAATGAATGAGTAGATATATGGCTACTCTGAAAACAGTTTACACTTCTCATCCTCTCTCACACTTGGGTGTGGTCAATGGATTGTAGTCAGAAAATGTCCTGTTCCATAAACCTTTAAAAATGAAAGGTTCCTGTCTATTGTTATTTGTATCTTCCTTCTTCCCACTCTCTGGAATGCTGAGAATATGACTGGAACTGGATCAGCCATCTTGGATGATGAGGTTAACGCTAAGAATGGAGTTAGCACAGGGCTAAGAAGCATAATAGAAGTAACCTAAATCCCTGAGGACTCAGAGCAAAGCCTCCATTGCAGGCCTGGATTTTATTCCTTAAAATGTTTATGTGAGAAAGGAATAAACTCTTACTTTGGTTAAAAGACTCATATTATGAATATCTGCTACTCATAGCCAAACTGGGCAGAAAAGTCACTCTATACTTACACCAAGTTTCATCACAAATAGAGATTGCTACTCTACTTAATCAAAGTTGAGTAGTATTGGCCATATGTTTTTTAGCAGGAGAATTATCACTATCCTTGAAATGACAGCTATCTTTCTCCATAGCACAAATATGATCACTCTGAGCCAATGTGCTCACACATTCAGGGTGGTAATGGTAGGGTGGACTAGAAGATAGAATTTTTGATCTGTATAGAATTGTTTACCAGGCTAGACCAGTTATCATCCCCCTCCACCCGCTACTCCTTGCCTGGATCCTGGCTCTAGTCCATTATAAGTAGGCCTGGCTTTTACTGGTCCATTGCTCCCCCAAGGTGTCTGAATCATGAGTATGGTGTACCTATCATTGCTATTTATCAATTAGTTTATCTTATTTAGATTGGCAGAGTTTGACTAAGAGTAGTTAGAAAAACATTCTTCTAGTCAGTTCATAGCGAGCAGTACTGTAAACTGCTATAATATTTAAATTCAAATATAGATTGTATCTACTCTTTTCCTGGTGGAGATATTCATGTATTTTTTAGGAAGTTTCATAGGGATAGCAACTTTATAGGAAGGGTGCCCTTTCTCACTCTCAAAGTTTAGATCATCAAT